TCTCACAATTCTAACAAACCGGCAGCAAGTCCTCTTGAGCAATTGAGTCTTTGTGGAAAAATCAAGCGAGTTATTCTGTACTTGAACAATTCATGTCTTTAGATGTTAGAAAGTCTTTGTGAGTCTATGTAAAAGTCATGTAAGTATAGAAGTCTTCGAAAGTCACGTGACGTATAATAACTAAATTTCAAACAGTAACTATATTTCAAATAGTATATAGTCTGTTTAAGCTTCATACCAATTCCTCGGTCGGAATTGATAGATTCAGGGATGTTCTACGAGAATGTTCACAGTATAATACTTTTCACAGAGAATGAGGAAGAAATAAGAACGATAGGTGAAGCGAAAGAGTGAAAAATACAGAGAAAGACTTTAAGAGCGATACAGAAAACTCTGCAATACGAAATAAATATATAAATAACGACAATAAATAAATATACAAGAACCCAACAACAAACAAAAAACGGATTCGAGGGGGTAACTCCGGAAAAAAAAACATTTTCGACCCTACTCCTCGACCTCGACAGTCTCCGCCATGTCCTCAGTCTCTCCCGCCGCCATCTTTCGTGAGGTCCTTGATGTCTTTCCCGCGCCAGGGAGTTTGTTCCTCCTCCTCTTGCCCTTCGGAGACTTTGACGAAGGGGCGGCGTAGTCCATGAGGGTGAAGAGGGAAACTGGGCATTCTGAGTACTGCTCCAGGCACGACCCCACGACCCGCCGCCGCCGCTTCTGAGTACGAGGCCAGGAAGTCGTCTTCTTTCGGGCTGTGGGGGGTCGTCCGGGGGAGAGTGAGGAGGAAGGGGAAGGGAAGGGAGGTAAAAGATTAATATTTTGCGATGATGGATTTGTCTTGGTTTCGTGCTCTTACAACCACATTTGTTAGCATTACTTGCAGGACTCAGAGAGGAACAGAACACAGACACACACACCACACACACACACACACACACACACACACACACACACACACACACACCATATTCTGCAGACCCCCCCCCCCCAACTCACGTGAGCAGCGTCGCCAACATCTGTCCGAGCAGGTTGAGCCGCTGCATCCGGCGGTGCTGGGCCTCGCAGATGAACCTGAGGAGGCAGGAACGCCCGTCCACGCCCACGGCTGAGAGGGACGACTGCAGCTGCTGGTAGATGGTCATCTGGTCCTCGGCTAGGCTCCTGCAGGAAGGGAAGAGGGGCGGGGGAAGGATGAGTGGAGGATGAGGATGAGTTAGGTTAGGTATTCCTAGAACTGAAGTTGTCTTTTTATTGTTTTATTTACTTATATATTTACTTTTTTAAGGAAAGGGTTGTTTGGTTAGTTGGTTATGTTAATTACTGTATTGTATGAGTGTTTGTTACTTTATCATTTTTCTGTATATGATCTAAAATTTGTTATATTATTCATTTGGAATGTATACATTGTTTGCACTCGTAAATACCATGATTTTTTACCATAAAAATGTAGAAAATTACTTTAAGCTAGAAGTATCATGATATGTACAATAAATTGAAATTTGTGAGTAACAATACAGGTATTAAGATATTAGGTTGAGTGTGACGTCACTTCTTCGTCACATGCAAAGCTATGACGTCATAACCGGCGCCGTGTACCTGGCCTCCCCCAGAACCACGTGGGGTCTCGGTTCCGTCCAGGGCTCCCCAGGTCTAGCGCCAGCTGGCCCCAGGTGGGAATACGACGACTCTCCAGCTGGGTAGTAATAGTCCTGATAGCCGATAGGCTGGTAGTCGCTGTAGCCGTAATAATAGCCATTGTAGCCAGACGGATAAGCGCTGGAACCCGCTTGATAGTCCGTGTCGTACCGCGTTTGGTAGTCACCGTAGTCATAGTTGTAGTCTGCGGAGTCCGGGGCTTGGTTGGCTAGTTCGAGCTCGGGAGGGACGCCAAATATGCTGTCCAGAAAGACTGCGCCGACGATGAGAAACCCGGTGTTGCCTAAAGGCCTCGAGGAATTCGAACCCAAGATAGGCGTGTTCACGTAAAAATCGAAGAGCATGAAAGGTCGTGAGGTCGTCATGATGGGAGATTCACACGCTTACGAGTTCGTTGAAGATTATATCCCTTTATGTCAACTATATATATGTCTTTCCCTTCTTCTTTTCTATTAAATTCAAGCGTCACAACAACAAGTCGACGATCCACCGAAACAGTCTTCGTGCTTCGATCCAAGTCGACGCTTCAACACCTCCAGCCCGGGGAAGTCGAAACCTACAGAGAGAAAAGAGAGAGAAAAAGACACACGTAAGTCCAGCGTTTTCTTACCTGCCTTTCGCTTCTGCCTCGCGCGCAGCAAACACCTGGCTGAGCTGAATGGCTATTCTGAAGATGAACACGACCGAGGTGGCGAATTCCGCTGCGTCAGTGTTGTCCACTCGGAGCGGGAGACCTAACTGGGGAGGGCGAACAGAAGTTGTTATGGTGCCGCTCGGGGAGGGAAGGAGGGAGGGAGAGAAGGAGGGACGGAGAAAGAGATAGATGGATAGATTGATAGATAGATAGAGTGAGAGAGAGAAGGGGGAAGGGGAGGGAGAGGAAGAGAGGAAGTGAGAGAGAATAGAGAGAAAATAGGGGAAAGAGGGGAGGAGAGAGGAAGTGAGAGAGAGAGTGAAAGAGAAGGGGGAAGTTGAGTAGAGAGGAGAGAGAGAGAGAGAGGAGAGAGCAGAGATAAGAGAAGAGAGAGAAAGAGACAGACAGACAAACAGTTAGATAGAGAAAGAGAGAAAGGAAAGAAAAGAAACTGATTTGTGTATAGGAGACAAAAAGGAATGAGAATAAGAGATACAGAGATTGAGACGAAAAGGGGGAGATATTGGAAAGATGGAGAGAAGAAAGATGAGATAGAAGGAAATATAAAGAAAGAGAGGGATAAGAAATGAAAATGGGAAATGAAAGGTTAGAATGGAGGAGAGAAAGAGAAATAAAGAGAAAGGGGGATGAGAAAGAAATATGGGAATGAGAAGATGGGAATAAGATATGAGATAGAGAGAGAATGTAGAGCAGAAAGAAACGGGGGAATAGGTGCAGCGGCAAAGAATGAGACATAAGAGAGAAAGGAGAGACTTTGAAACCCATTTCTCACATATATAAGAACTAATTATATCAGATCAACTAGTATTCAAATACTTGTTTAGCAAAAATCTTTAGTAAAATCAAACTATTCTGATCCACGTAATCTCAACATAATTATATGATACAATTTTCCCAAAAGAGCGACACCATAACACTGTCTTGGCTCCGCACCTGATTCTCAACAAACCACAGAGGGTCAAGAGGAGCAAGCTGGCTCGCTCCAGCCAAAAGGTCCAAAGTCCGAGACATTCTCAACGGCTCTCCGCCCTTACACGATTTCCTGAAAGAGCAGGACGCTTTTGAAGGACGCTCGTTTGGCAGCAGTTGGTCTCGCGGTCTCTGTGATGACGTCACCAACGGCAATTTTAGGAGGGAAAGTTTTCGCGGCGAATTCAAGTGCTCCTTTTTCTCAGGAGTTAAGATAAATGTGTAAATATTTGATCGCTTTGTAATTCGTGAAGCGAAAGCGTTGATGTGAGTGACAAAGACTGTGATCAGAGTAGGGATTGGGAGAAAAGATTCTAAGATAGGTGACTATTTTACGAATTTGTAAGATATTTGGCAGAGGATTTTCATGATTATATACAGGCACACACACACACACACACACACACACACACACACACACACACACACACACACACACACACACACACACATATATATATATATATATATATATATATATATATATATATATATATATATATATGTATATATATATGCGTGTGTGTGTTGCAGTAGCCCTATAAAGCACTTGATCTAGTCTGCACATATTCTTTTTTTTTTTACTTTGAAAGACTGTTCACTTAGTATTGTAACCTTCAGCATCTATCACGTTTCCCGCTCACACATACACTTTCCTTTTACAAATAAAAACATTAGAATCATCATAAAATGTATCACACTTTCAAATAAAAAACATCATACATAAGTTTCAAAACACATTATAAAATCACAAAAGGGAAGACAAAACTATATATCACTACTCGAGAACAAACTCCAAAACAAGAAAACTGCAAGAACATTTACGTCCACGAAGACCCCCTCTTACCTAAAGCACAGAGGGAGATGCGTATACCTTTCCTTCGTTGGCGAATGTTTGCAGCTAAACTTCTCTTCCACTTTGGATCCTTTAAAACCAACACAGCTCCGCCCATAATGTGACGTCACGGATTCTCGGCCAATGAGACGGCGCTGACCAGCTGGCCTACGAGGAACCTCCCCTTGAGGGAAAGGGTATTGGGGACGCCAACAGTCGCGTGACTAATTATTCTCCTTTGACCTCCCGCGACCTGAATTCTGAGGACCACAGGGTCACATTATCTTATTTTCCTCCTCCGTCGACCAATGGGGAGGCTCCACACTCGGCATCACTGGCCAATTCGACCAATAGGAAGGCCGACCTTCTGGCAAAGGCACGTGCTATTCCTTATACAGTATCTCCATCTTAGGCTATTATAACAACGAATTGTTATGCCGCGGGGGTCATGGCAAGACATTTGACAGTTATGTCGGCCGCGGCGCTTTGACCTAGGCATTCAAATCGAGAGCCTCCTTTGGGAAGACTGTTAATCCGTGACATAAATTGGGTGAAGTGAGAGACAGGCTTCAGGGGGGATCTGACGCGACGGTTTTCTGTGTTTATTGCACGAGAGAGAGAGAGAGAGGAGAGAGAGAGAGAGAGAGAGAGAGAGAGAGAGAGAGAGAGAGAGAGAGAGAGAGAGAGAGAGAGAGAGAGAGAGACAGACAGACAGACAGACAGAACAGAGACAGAGACAGACAGAGAGAGAGAGAGACAGAGACAGACACACACACACAAACAGACACAGACACAGACAGACAGAGACAGACAGACAGACAGAGAGAGACAGACAGACAGCCAGAGACAGACAGACGAAGATAGATAAAGAAA